CAACCATGGATGCCAGGGAAAAAGGGGGGGGAAGGTGGGACATAGCAGAGAGTGGGGGATGGGGAATCAGGGATGGCAAGACAAAGGGCAAGGTATGCAGGACGTAAGAATTGGAAAATTATTTGCTGAGAACATATATGTGGATGTACTTGATTGAGACAATGCACAGTGTATTTTGGATGGAAAATTCATTTGTGTGTTGTGATGGTGTAAAGTGAATTAATAAATAAAAAAAAGTTATTACATGTAAATGGAAAAAGAAAACAAGAGTTACTATAATAATACCAGATAAAGTAAAAAACAAATCAAAAACTATTAAAAAAAAAAAAAAAAGAGGCCCAGTTGCAGTGTTACAACAGTAGCATAAAGTTCTCCAGTGCTAAAAGCCATATAGAAGATTAAGATTCAGTTCTCACATCAACCCACACATGCCCAGCAAGTGTGCATGCATCTAGATGATTCTAGCTGGCTAGGAGAAGACAGGAGGAGGATTATGGTTTGAAACCCTGATGAGGGTGCTTATATGCCTGTCTGTCTCTCGATGTCAATAAAAAAATGAACAAAAAAACTAGAGATGAAGGTCACTATATTGACAAAGGGATCGATTCAGCAAAAGAATTTAATAATTGCAAATATATATGGTACCCAGTTATGGAGCACTCAAAAATAAAAAACAAATATTACAAGACCTAAAGGGAAAAATAGATTCTAACAGAGTAACAGTTAGAGATATCAACATCCCACTCTGAGCATTCCACCAACCCTCTAGGACAGAAAATCCACAAAGATATAGCAGAGTGACACTGTGACAGATCAAATGGATCTGACTAACAATTTACACACTACCCCATCCAAAATCTGCATAATACAAATTAGTTTCATTACTACAAGGAATATTCTACAGGATAGGCCATGTAATAACCAAAACACAACTGTCAAATTTTTTAGAGCTAAAATCACATCAAGAATCTTTTCTGTCCATAACAGAAATCAACAACAAAAGAATGTGGAAAATATACAAATAAATGGAAACTAAACATCTTCCTCATTGACTCTGGGTCAAGGGAGAAACCAAGAAACAAGTTTGAAAAATTCTTGAACCAAATGAAAATGAAAATACAACAAATCAAAACCTAGAGAACATAAAAAGCAGTAGTTAAGAGGGAAGTTTGTTTTAATTGTGAGAGGGCGTAAATACTTGTCAGAGAGAGAGAGAAAGCACATCTCTGATGGGGTGTGGTCATGCCAATCCCTTCTCCATTTCTCCATTCCACAGAACTGTTGACTTGTATGCACACACACGTGCTATGTTTTTCAAGACATTGGGGCCAAGATCCAAACTGTGGTCAGCTATGTAGGATCTGGTTCTATATAAATAGGGTCTAACTACTGCACTATCAAGGCGATCAAAAAGGGAAGTTTGGGGACAAGCAGTTAGCGTAATGGCTATGTCACTGGACTCCCACGTAGTCGACCGCAGTTCGAGTCCCGGACCCGGTTGTTTAAACTCACCCAGGCGCGTGTGCGCGCGTGCCCAAGATCCCGAGAAGAGAATGGAGGAGAAGGGATTGCGGCATGACCATCCCCCCTCGGGGGTGATTTCTCACTTTCTATCTCTCTGTCTCTCTCTTTCTGCCTGGCGAGCGCACGCCCTATAGCAAAAATCTCTCCAAAAAAAAGAAAAAAAAAAAGAAAAGGGAAGTTTGTAGCAGTAACAACCCACATTAAAAACAAAAAAATTAAAAAGATGGCAAGTAAACAACTTAAAAATGCATTTTAAGGACTTATTAAAAAAAATTAAGCCCAAAAGTAATAAAGTAAAGGGATAATAAAGATTAAATCAGAAATAAATTAAATAGAGGCAGTACAAAAGATCAACAAAATATATTAATTTTCTAAAAAGATAAAAATTGACAGTCATTAGCTTGAATAACTAAAAAGAGAGAATAACTAGAACTAAAAAGAGAGCCCAAATAAATTAAGAAACAAATAAAATGGAGATACTATAACAGATACCACAGAAATAAAAAAAAAAATCATTAGAGACTATTTTATGACAAGCCTAGAGGAAATAGATTAATTCCCATACATCTAATCTATCAAGGTTGAAACAGGAAGAAGCAAAAAGCCTTAACAGACCAATAACAAGTAATGAAGTCTGAATTAATGACAAAAGGTGTCCAAAAAAAAAAAAAAAAATCCCCACCCAGATCTAGATGGCTTCACTGCTGAAACTCATGCTAGGGACATGTATGTGCATGCCCAAAATAATGAGAATGAAGGAGAAGGGATTGTGGTGTGGCCATCCCCCCAGTGGGAGGTGACTTCTCACTTTTTGTCTCTCTCGGTATCTCTGACACGTGCCCCAAAAGAAAAGTCTCTCAAAGGAAATAAAAAAAAAAACTGATAAAAAAATTCAGTAAAGTTATAGGATATGAAATAAATCTACAAAAATCAGGGGGCTGGGACCAGCAAATGGCATAATGGTTACATGACTAGATTTACACATGGCCAACGCAGTTCAAGTCCCTGACTCTGGCTTCAAACTCACAGAAGTGTGTGTGTGTGTGTG